CGCACAGAACTCGACGAATTATAGCACCCACGCATGCATATGGGTCATGTCAACGCTGCCATTCACAGCCATTCACAGCTTTGCCGAATTAAAACAAAAATTAAAAACTGACAGCATGCTGACAGCAAGAATAATTTCACAGGGAGTTTAGTTTAGTGCCATTACTATCTTTAAACCAAGTATGCTTTTCAACAATCATTTCGTCAGTTAGGTTTTGGAAAGCTGCAAATGATTACTCTACCTCTACTGTTTTGCAAAATACATTTATGTACTCCGAAGGTTTATATGTAAAGTGGGTAAAGCTTACCCTAAAAATTGTTTAGCCAGGTTTTGTTTAAATGCAAGACAGATAACATGCACAAGACAGATAACATGCACAAGACATATAACATGCATAGAAATAGCTAGTGCAAGCATTTGTCAAGTTTTGTCCCCTTGTACATGTACGCATGTATGTAGGGTAATCAGATTTTTACAAAGTACAAATTACAAATTGCTTGAGAAATGCCTCAAAAACCATTCCTTGAAGAGATTGTGATTTAGACCAAAAGTGTACAACCACATGTTGGTCTGAACCAACGAAACAATGTTGGTGCCAAGTTTATGTGCATGTAGTGGCTCAGGCAAAAATGTGGTTCAGCCTTACCTAGGGATATGACTAAAATGCAATGTTGTAATCAAGTCATCAAAGGTCATCACAGGTCAATCGCTAGCCAGCCAGTCTCAAGTGACAAGCCAATCAAATGAACTGTGGCAAAGGTACATGTACATGTATTCCAATCCTTTGTCGTTGTTTATCCCATGTTGCGTGACACTGACATGTGGTTTGACTTGTGATGACAAGCCACTGAATCTTGATGGACTTGTGATTGACATGTGATTGACTGGATACCAAGTCTGCTGTAAAGCTGTTCTGACCACAATCTGTCCAGGAAAAGATTGTGGTCTAGGCAAAATAAGAAGACTTTATGCGAGACAGAGACTCACAGAGTTCAAACTTCCGTCTATAAAAATGAGACACTCACCTGCATATGGTTTAGAATGGGAGTATTAAAAAGGGAGTTCAGGCCAAATATGGGTTTAGGCCACAAAAATTATGTTCATGTATATATGTATGTACAGACACTCTTGTTTTACTATACTCTCGAGGACAATGCTTTGTGTTTCCCGTTGTCCCTGTAATATAACACTCTTCCATAGACTAAGCACGCAAACTTACTACAGAGGACCATTTCCAACAAAAGACCCACCTCCCAAGGACTGAAAGGATCTGTTGATCTGTTGATGTACATGTAAGAAGTTTGGTCCAAATGCTGTTTACATCAAAATTGTCAAATTACATGTAAACACAACTCTGAACAATACAAGCTCACTGCAAGTGGTTTATTCACTTTTAACATGTGCAGCATGTTCATATCAAAGGGATTTGAACCTCGGAACCTTCACAGACAAATAAAATAACACTAACCATCAAAGCCACATAACCTCAGGATATGTTATCATACGTGTACATCCCAAAAGCGTCTTTCCTAAATCTGGACGTAACATGGAAGTCCAAAATTGCCCTTTTTAGAGACTTGAGGCACACAAACACCGTGGAGCCAGGATGGGTGGGGATGTCACTCCTGCCCTACTTTTGCCATCTGCACAAGGTGTTCCTATAGGTTCGTCGAATGATATCCTGAACACTGCCAATTAACTGACAGGTTATGTGGCCACACCCTCACAAACCACCGACAACAAGCTCTTGCAGGAGCTCTTATACAATGCGAGTGCAAACTACGTAACTCAAAATGCAAAATAAATTGGTGAGAGCAATAAGCTGGCAAAGCCATTGAGGATTTCTTCTTTTGGGGGGGGGGGTGAGTGATGTGTGTATGTGTTGTTTTTTTTTTGTGGGTTTTTTTTGGCAACAAACAATCTGTTCAGTTATAAAATGGAACAGTTTTTAAATCTATTTTAAATGTCTTTCTACACCCATACATTTACAGTCAACTTGTTTCGAAGTCTACTATCTCGCGAGGAAGCACTGACAAGATTGCACACACAACAAAATGAAAACTTCTGCTATCAGTGTAGGAATGTTTTGTTGGAGGCACTCAAATGAATCAGTCATTGGAATAATGTCACACTTTCTTTAACCACGTTTAATCAACAGGATATATGTGACTACTTTTTCTTCTTCTTTTTCTGAATGTCAAAGAAAAAAATAACAACTTTATGGAATTTAACACACATGAAGGATTTTTTTTCACTTTTGCCAACAACCACCATCAAATATGATATTTACATTGCATGACTAAGAACTGACCTCAGGCACTATGATTTGCATTGTTCTTCAATCAATGGGGGAAAATACACCTTTAAAGTCATCAACACGATTTACTTGACACACAGTTACCCCACTGTCTTCTTTGCACATATAAATGTACATGTAGAGCGTCAAAACTGTCAATTCACTTCCCCTACACTGACCCAGAAAGATTCACCTTTGCTCTTCCCTAACCGCAAAAGATCCAACGTCAAAAATCAAATGAAATATTTCACCTGACAAAAAATCTTTTGTCTCTTTTTCTTTCAATTTTTTTCAGGAAAAATAGGGACAAAAAGCAACAACTCCATACTGTTTACAAGCAAAAACTGTGTGAAACTTGTGTCATTCGTTTATACTGTTAAGTAAAGATTAAATTTTTATGAAACTTTGCTTAAGTTATTTTGTTCTTTAAAAAGGCTTTTTAACAAGTTTGCCATAGCTTTATCTGCTTCATGCATGGAATCTGAAGGGCATTCATGGTTTTAATCTACATTCCTCACAAAATAAAGTGGGTTCTAGCAACCAATCTCAATTTAATGGTTGAAAGTTGCATATGGACTACCATGACCACAAAAGAAAATATACGACAATGACCCATTCATGATGTGCTTTCTCCACAAGGGACAAGGAACACTAGTCCGAGTATCAGAAATCACGTTATGTAGAGCCACACGACGAACGTCTGATAGTAGCATGCAAATTTTATGCAACCACGGGTGCCAGCCAATCGGAGTCAACTTTAGAAACTGTGACGTCATTTGGATCAGAAATGTGGACCAATTAAAAGCTGTTAGTCAATTTAGCTACCATACAAAAGGTTACCGAAGACCTGATAGAAGGTGCCTGCTGAATGGTCAGAATTAATTAATCCCTGAATCTGCTTGCATATCATAGACGCTTGAAGTGGATGTTCCATGGACTACGGGACACAAGCAACTTTCAAAAATGTCCAGTTGTCCCAAGGTTTCTAGTTTCATACCCATGTACAATGATTGGGGACCAGGGAAACCACATCTTTAATTGGTCCCATCATACCAATGCAAACCTTGGATTCACCACCTCAGTGGTACATAATGACCCGACCCAAATCCAAGATTTTATTTTCCCCATTCCTTTCCTCTGGGTATATTTGTAGATATAGGTTGCTGTTTGACCTTCCTCTCTGGGCTGAATTAAGCTCAGGCAAAACATTAATTTAGGAGCGCAGCACTGCAGAGTCATGCCTTAAAGATAAGAAAGAACTTTGGTAATTATTTGAAAACGAACCAAGCAAGTACCCTGTGAAATACTTCTGCCTGAAATTGTATCCTTTGGAATCAATCATAATTCATTGGAGGTACACAGTTTCTAAAAATGGTACGTATTGGTTAATACTGCAAATCTAATACTGATTTAGGGATTAATCACCAGACGGTGCAATTCAAAATATAAAATGGTAACTTTGAATCAGAGGCACAACTGCACAAGCAATGCAATAATAGGGTTTTTCTATCTTCTCAAAATGAATACAGGTCGTATCCACTTATCTTCAACTTCCAACAGGTTAGTTGAAGATGCACAAACTGCAAATGATCCTATTTAAAGACAACCTACGTTAATACAAAACTGAGCAAACCTTTGCTGATACAGATGTTAGCAAACGGCTGATGTGACTGAAAACTGTTTTATAAGCTGTGTTAAGGCAATTTCGCATCACACCAATATGTTGTGCATGTCTGTCCTTTGCAGCATACAAATTCCCAGCAAAAGTGTTTGGCCACATGCCATACTTTCAAATACAATTTGGGCCTGACCGTTTTTGCTTACCACCACTTCTTCTTTAGCAGCATTCTGTAACCTACCTTTTACACCCATTTAGTTGTTCAAAGAGTAAGCTGCACATAGTGATGGCATTTCCTCTGTTGACTGATATCTTCTAATAGAAGTTCAAGCCAAAACCAAGACTTACCACATGGATATACAAACCATGATAAAACGAGAAAAACTGAGTACGACCGGCTGTTTAATTTGTGTCCCCCATTCCCACACTACTCACATCCCACCTCATAGTACCTGATAAACATCCACAGAAATGGCAAAGGTACAGGCCACTTTGAGCATTGTATCACTGAATATACATGGAGGCCCCCTCGATGGCGACAGCGCTGTGTCACCTATTGTACAAGGCAACTACCCAAAGACAAATTATCTGCCAATATTGCTGGCAATGCTTTGAAGGGGGCTTCTGTGAGTTTTACAGTGGTGGCGTTCTCAGATTGGTCTGTTCTTGTTGGTGTCATCCTAGACGGCAGGTACTTTTCTTCAGGATTTTGCAAGTGCCTAAAAGTTGTAAATTGTATCATTTGTTTGAGGAGGTTGCCTGGCCGTGTGTTGAATGATTCCAGCACAAGCGATTGCAAGTCCAAAGGATGAGCTAGGTGTGATATGAGGAAAGAAAGTTAGTATCAAAACAATCCTGGCAATGGAAAAGGTTATCATAGTTTTCCTTGATGGAAGATTCTCACCAAATTCACTACACGACCACTGCTCACAGATCTAAGAAAAAAAAAAAAAACCTGTGAAGAGAAGGTGATGAATATTGGATCTAATTCAACAAAGTCCAGTACCACAACATTTTGGATGTGAACTTTGATAGAGCACAAAATTACAAAGTATGTGTCTGTCATGTTTTGTTTATCGTGAGTACCTGAGCGACTGTCTGTTCATTGATTGGGACATCGTCACCTCGTACTGCTATCCTCTGTACTACATTGCTGTAATCGGACTCCAGAATGATTCTGAAAAAGAAAAGGCAAGACAAGAGTATAAATTATGATGTAGAAAAAGATGAATTTATAAACAGTACAACTTTCTATGAAATAATACACACAGTTGAATGATAAGATTGTCACTGTTGTATCAGGGATGGACACATGAATGTTGCAGATGACTGGATCACACATGTACTGGTACTCTAGTCAATTTGGAGAGGTGTTGTAAACCTTTGGTTCTACATGTAGCTGTTGGGTCTGCACATAATACTTACAGGATTTTGTTGTACATGTATTTGGCAGGAAGTCTATGGACATTTTGAAGGGTCAAAGTATAGGATGTTTTACTTTGAACAGAAATAAATGTATGTGTATGCCTCATGGCCATCTTGCAAGACTGTTTCATTCTAATTAAGAAAAAGGCTACTTGTGCCTCTTCAGCAGAACAAATCCACTAACCTCAATAAAAAAGACGGCTGCTGTTCATAAGGTCAAATGTTTTCAAACAGGTGCTACATACAGCAGGGAATACTGGGTCTCATAATATAGAGCTATTCATAAGATGAAATTTGCGTTGGGGTGATGTAAATCAACAAGCAGTGCAATGAAAAGTGCTCAGATCAAGTTTGGCTACTTGTTTTATTTGGCATTCGGCTACGATAGCCCAAGAAAGTCTTCCGACTTATTTCCAATTCCCATGGTAGAAGATGAGGAATGAAATTACAGTGGGAAGAAACCCAAGAATTACTTTCCAGGGAAAACCCACAGAATCGAGTAGGGACTGAAAACAAAATCTACCTGTAGGCCCGGGCAGGATTCGAACTAGGGTCATATCAGTAGTAGGTGAGGAAAACACTACTATTCCAACCCGATCTCCCTAACATGAACCTGATCCACCTTGAAGCTCTTGACTTACATGCAGAACCAAAGTTTAGAGATTTTTCCAGTCTATAACAATCAGCCGAACACGATCCGGTCCACGTTCAACTGACACATGTTTGCTGATTAACAACCAAAACAGAATCAAGTGCACTACTCACCCTCCATCCACTATCTCATCCACAGCAAGGAATGCCGCATCTAAATGATCGAGGAGTGCTCGCTTCTCAACATTCTTTCTGTAGATGGGAGAGAAAAATAGTAGAATGCACATTTAGGTTCAGAAGACAAACAGAGAAAAACGACAAAAACTAAGAGGGTCGATACAACCATGAGCACAAAACAAGAACCTATATTCACGTAATACAAAAGCATAGAGTTATCCTGTCCTGGTCTGCTCAAGACCATTCCATGTACATCTGCACATGTAGGAGACAAGAGGACCAGAAATATTGGATGTGCATGCCATACATGTGCTTACAATCTACTTGCACACCAGTAAAACATCTTGAGCTCAAACTTATGTTTAAGAACTTTGGATTGCAATGGCAGAAATGGGAAATAACATAATTAACCCAATCATCATCATATTACATACATGTACATGTACCGGTGCATGTGTTTCATCATCATGATTCAACTGTACCACAATCTTTTTCTATTTTGCTTTATCTTTAGCACCAGAGGAGATCTCAGACTCTTGGTGTGCTTTCCGATTCAATGCTGATTATATTGGAATGCCAAAGCATGGCAGCTGTATGCTACATGGGATCTTCAAATTTAGGAAATGCGTTAACAAGAGAAGGACCCTTACAAGGATAGTCATATAAATCATAAAAGAATGAGTAACATATATTTTTTTTTTAGTACGCTCGCTTAATCGTCAAGAGAGGACATCAGAGTGCCAATGGTGATGGAGCTGAAGGATCAACATGTTAGGCTCCCTTCACTTTGTGATTTTAAGGGAAATATATTCGCATTTTGTCAGTAATTACAACTTTTCATTCTTTCATACAAATGCCACTGATGTTTTAATTCTTGCAATTAACACAATAAATCATTACAACTACCATAAGAGTAAAACCTGTTTAGAGCACATTGTACACTCTGTGGACTGATGTACACGTATACCTTTAGGTACAGCCCTAAGCCGGCAGTTATGTTCTAGTACAGCAGACCTTATCGGGTTCAACACTTGCAAACCCTTCATCACACTTATTTTTGATACCATCTGTCACAAAAGTTTCAACTCAACATAACTCAAATTTTACTCTTACTTTCTATCCATGGCAACAAGCAACTCGTGCATGTCTACATGTACGTACCCTGACAAGGTTTGCTTCGCATTGCCGCACATTTCCTCAAACATTAGGATGATTAGGATGATAATTACTCATTACCTCTCCACTCAGCTACCTCGAGTTTCGGTTGTGGATTTGCCAATCACACTTGGCTGTGAGCTTATGTGCAAAATAATGGACACGTGCTTGGCATTTCCGAACAATTTGTCAAAACTCCACGCCAGAGGAAAGATCTTTTGCAGAGTACAACCTAGATTCAATATCTTCATGTTCACACTAATGTGTCCTCTGAGCCTTGAACTCTAGCACCCTAGCGAACAGCCCTGGGATGCAAGGATTTACCCTATAACAACTTTCTGGAGGAAACCTGCCAAAGCTGACATTCTCAATTACAGTCTGCTTGGATCCTGGTAGCCTGGTCCCTTTGGGAGGTGCCCGCAGGGGAGAGGTGAGGGGGAATAGAGGGACTGGTTGGCCCAGTTTTTTTCGGCGTGGCTGCCTCTCAGCTCAAGTCTCATTGCCAGAGGCAAACCCAATCGCAGGATGCTACATGATCAGGTGGTATTCCCTTGTCCCCCTCACTGGTTTACACTGGCAAAGGTTGCTTACCTAAAAATCATGAGCAATCCCAGCACAGAATACCAACCTTTTTGCTCATCGGTACAAACAAGCAGCATGAACATTCAGTTCTTTATGATTAAACAGAAGGACTAAGGTAGGATTTCAGACCCAAAACCACCTTCTTTCAGGGGTAGTAATTATGACCACTGCACACTTACCTTTAGCTAAGCTAATATCAATCTACTTGGTAGGGATTCGAACCAGAGAATTCCTACTCCCTTGGTCATATCACCACTTGATTGCCAAGTGTATAGTTACTTTTGTCTTAAGTGACTTTAACGATTGCAAACAAAATGCGGACTAACTAATTTGGTAAATTAGGGGTAGTATTTGAAAAAAGTCTGTGTTTTTTTTCAAACGATTGATACAAAAAATCCACATTTCTTGAAAGTGACAGCACACCAGGTGTCGACACCAGGTGTCATGATTTCACAGAATGCTTGAGACTATTATCCACTTACAGTCAAGTAAGGTATTTCATAATATTTTGGTGGCTTTGTCTTTTGATGTTTGTAAATGTTTTATATTACCTTTAACCAGGACATGAACAGTGGTTTCCTGGATCACCATATTCTAGTCCTTTAACAATTGCGTACTAATTGTCATGAGAAGTAGGTGAATTTGTGGGGGCAGCACCACCTATTGTACTTAAGGGGTTTGGGATTGTCCCCAGAGCCACCAGGATGAAGTTCAAGGCCTGCCTCATTGCATCCAGAAGTGACAGCATGGTATTTACCCTAAGCCCTAACCAGTGACTCATACCGCCTCTGATGCACACTGATCCCAGCTTTACCCCCCTAAACTGGACTATCTCCCCCCTAAATGCCCTGTCTTTATGGCCATGCGCAACACACACCCCTACACATCAAACCTAAATCCTGCAGGGAAGGCTGAGCAGATGAAGGCTCAAGGCTTTTAATTCCCTCCCCTTCAAAGTGTCCAAGTTCAGGTCATAGTGGCTGTGCCATGTCTGAGTCACCTATGGGTTGCGGGGAGTGCATGTACCGGTACGTCTTCATGTAATACTGTATCGAATGTGGCAAGTTGTCTAGCTAGGTGGTTTACCATCTAGATTGCGCTTTGCAGATTGTAATAAACCAAGACTTGCTCCCACCCAATAGGCTATTGCATTTAACATGCACGGAAGCCTGTACTGCAGAAAATGACCACAGACAGACGAAAGAACTAGACGTAGACGCCTGATTTGCAGGAGCAGCTGGTGATCACACCCACATACACCTCTCCCGATTAAGTTGTCGATTCTAGATATACGTACATTTGTACCATTGAACAGAACACATAGAAACATGTTGTACACATGAATGCATGAACATATGTGTACATGAGTTGCCTGTGAGACTTGACCCCATTATTTTCATACTTTTAAAAGATCTCACTTTATACTTGCATTGGTAACTACATGTACTGTTCAAGCTGTAGACAGCGATTCTTGTACTCAGGGCACTGATAATTCAGAGAGACCATCTTGCATGGACATAGCCTTTAGTCAAGTCCCACGCGCTTACCCGGACACCCCGGATGCTGACACGTAAAAAGACTAGCACGAGCGGCGAAGCCGCAAGGGCCTTCATCATCTCGCGGAGAACGCTTATGTTTTTCTTTACATTTGTCTACCGATTTGGTAGACATGCATAATGCATTACCCGTTGTGAATTGACCAATGAAAATGCAGAATTACTAACGTAAATCAGCCATCGTCTGGCGCCAGACAGCACGCACGCCATGGCGCGCGTGCTGTTGCTGGTAACCGCAAACCACTGTTAGATGATTGGTTTATAATGCTTGATTTATATTACGTGAATAAATGAATAAGTGATTAGTTCCACGAGATAGTAAAGGCCCTCGCGGCATCCGGGGTGCGTTACGTGTCCGGATGGTCCTAGTATAGGCACGTGGGACTTGACTAAAGGCTAGCATGGACAGGAAACTTGGAGTAAAATGTCCTGCTAAGGGACTCCTACATGTGTATAGCGATTCACTGGCTGGGTTTCACTGAAGATCACATTACAAATCCCTGATGTTTCTCTTGCAAAGTGTGCTTCCTGTTACACCTTTACAGGAAGACATGTACATGTGCAAATACACATACTGTACACGCATACAGGTTTCAATGTCACATCATGCTAATAACAAGTGGGCTCTGACATTCTTGCAGGAAATTTGAGGTGCATGTATACAAGAAACATATGGCAACAAAAGGCAGGAAATCCCTTAATGTTAGGAAGGCTTAAATCTCTGATTCATAAATCAAAGGATGGTTTGCAGAAAATAAAAAGGCAAACAATTATAAACAGGTGTACAGTTTAAGATCTGTAAATTTGTTTATGGCAATAGTGACAAAATCTATACTGAACTGAAAAGCATTTGGGTTTTAACAACTTGTAACACTGCAATGGAAATTCAAGGACTATCTCTGATTACTAATAATGGGTTGAAGAAAGATGGCACTGCAATACTAAGCCAGGTCAAATGAGACAAGGAGTGCTTTTCTATCACCGCTGGGTCAATCCCCAAATCTCTGCAAGAATAAAACCTGTTGCCAATCTGATGATGGACACACACCGACTGATGAGACAATGATTCGATATAAGTCACTCCCTTGAAACCCTCGAATGGAAAGCAAAACGGGATGAGTTTTCTAAAGCTCCGAAAACAAATCCCTGTTAAACCCCTTCATCACACTAAGCCAATCCCCCAATGCGTTAACCACTTCAGACAGTGTAAGTCCTATCAGGATCTACCACTTATCCTGTTCACCTGTTACCACTGTCACTATCTCTCTCTTCTCCTAAACAGCCCCCCCCCCCCACGTCTACTCTGGCGTTCTTTTGTTATCTTGTCCCCTCCCAACAGCCCCTCTCTTCCTCTCCCCTCCCCCTCCCTCCCCCCCCCCCCCCAAGAAGAGATGACAGGCATATTAATGAATTTTCCGCATGGGCCTAAGTCAAGTGGTTCATCATGGCTGATGGCTTCCAAAGCAGACCGGAGAACAACACTTGGGGCTTCGTTGGCAGCCAGCTTGCATAAAACAATCAAGTCTTGATGCCCAACATCCGGTCCTTGTTAGGGGCAACTCTGCCGGGAAATGGTTCAGTATCCAACTTACATGGAGCGTACAGAAGATCAGATGCTTCAGATTAAACAAGATCAGACAATGTCAATTGTTAAATTTTGAATGATGTCATCTTCCTCCAATTTTTCCCCCCAACTGGACATTTTATGCAAGTCCGTCGAGCAGCAATCTTAGACGGTGATCTTAAGTTTTTGAATTTAGAAACAATGAATCAATTTCTGGA